CCTCCTCCCTTTCTATCCTACCGACTTCTGACCCAACCTTCCTCCTCCTCAGCGTTCCTTCTGGCGGCTCCTGGATTCTGTAGCAGCCTCTGCACCTCGGTTCTTTTACATTTTAACTTTTTTGAAATGGGGATTCATCTTATAATCAAGGTTCACATTTAATTTAGCCATTTAGTTTTCCTTCTTTCTTTCTTTCCTTTTCCTCTCCCCCTCCCCGCCCCCCCCCCCCCCCCCACACACACACACAACGGGAGAGGCTGCTACTAAAGCTGTGCAATTTTCCAAGCATGTTCTCAGGCTGGCAAAAGCAGGTCTAATTAGTTAGGACGTTAATGAGGTCTGTCTCCAGCCAGGCAGCCCGTATCTGGGGCGCATGAAGCCAGGCACGCACAGGGGGGCACATCTCCAGTCGAGGCTTCTGGAGTCCCATTATCTCAGCCTCTTCCCATGGGAGGGGCTGTGGCCGGGGGCTATGAAGAGAGGAGCACAGCCAGAGGAGCATCCCAATCCCTCCTGAGCCCCCACGTGAGGAAACGAGGCTGGGACCTGCAGATGTTTATGAGAAGACTCAACCATCACATTCCCTCCATTTCCCATTTTCTTATTCATTCATACTAGAGGGCTGATGCATGAAGATTCGTGCAATAATAGGCCTTCCTTCCCCTGGCTGCTTGCACCGCCTTCACTCTGGCCAGAGCCGCCTTTCCGCCTCTCGCCTTGTGTCAATTTGCATATTCCCTCCTTATTGACTGTGGGCACGCCATCTTCGTTGCGAAGTTACGGTCAATTTGCATATTCTGTCTTTATTAGATAAGATACTGTGTCCAAACGGCCCCATCCTCTGGACCTTGGGGATGCAGGTTCATTCCTCATAATGTTGTGGCCAGCTGATTAAATAGACGAATGAGTCAATTTCCATCCTCTGCTTGAACACTTTCAAGGATGTGGCCCTTGTCACTTCCCAAGGCAGCCACTTCCTCTCAGAAAGCTCCACTAAGCCCTTTCCTCTGTGAGGTCGTAAGTTGCTGCGAAATGCCTTTCTTCTGCAAGACTGACTCTACACTCTGCGGTAGCCAAGTCCAAGTCTATTCCTCATGCCTAGAAAGAAAGTTACATCTGCCCCTATACACAGTCCTGGCTTTTTCAGCTCCGGCTCGCTCTCCTCACTCCCCTGTCTGTCCCCAGCACAGACTCTTGCTCACTGGGCCCCTTCTGACCTGCAGAGGGAGAATCAGTGGAGCCAGGACTTTTAAACAAGCTCCCAGGAACAGGAGAGGCCTTCTCTTTGGTAACTTGCTCCCATTGTTTTTGCTGGAACCAGCACTTGGGTCTCTACAGAGGCTCTGAGCCAGAGATAATATTGAAGGACCTCTCACCAACCACCAGCTCTTCTGAGCTGATTGCGGAAGGTTTTTCCTTCACTTAAGTCTTGCTTACAGATAAAGTGTTTTCCCAGAGGTTTATGTACATTTTTGTGATCATTAGGGAGCATATAATTCATTCCTTATTTGTTAAATAATTTGTGGAACTCTTGGCGGGGTGTGTGTGTGTGTATGAGAGAGAGAGAGAGAGAGAGAGAGAGAGAGAGAGAGAGAGAGAGAGAGAGAGAGAGAGAGAGAATGAATATACAAAGTAAAGTAGAGGAAAAAATGAGCTTATTATATGAACTGCGTGTTGTCAGCTCCTAGATGCTTGTAAGAAATTTGCTCTGAGCGACCTAGAAGCCAGTGCCCAGAGGGAGGCAGGCATCGCCACAATAGAAGTGTGCGTGAGATCACCAGGAAAAAACAAACAGTGGCTTAGAGGAAAGGTGTATCTTACTGTTGTTTCATTTTGCATTTCCCCCGTGACTCCTGAGCTCTTCCTTTTCCCATCACTTTTGACTGCCTGTATATTGCTTCTTCTGTTCTTTATGGATTCTTAATGTTAAGTCTTGGTCTCATAAGTTTTGCAGTGTTTTTCTCCCACTCTGTTGTTTGTCTTGTAACTTATTTTATAGTATCCTTGGGTACCGTTTGGGCCCAAGGTAGATAGGGGGTATTACAGGAAGTTAGCATTTCTTCTGCAGAGAGAGAATTACTGCTGGTGGTGAGAGGTAACCTGTGGGCCTCCCCTTCCCTGGGAGACCATTCCTATAGGGAGTGTCTGCAGGCTGGCCTCGGTCCACCGTGCTGGAGAGCCATTATACAAACAAATAGGTGAGTGTAAGTGACCAGGAAGAGGGGAAGAAAAAATACATGTGAGTGAATAACAGGGAGAGGAGGTAAGAGGAAATTGGAACTAAAACATTCAGAGTAAGTGTAAAGAACAATAAAGGAAAGATAATAGAAGTTCAAAATAAAAGTTAAAAACTCAAGGGCTGATGGGACAAAAATAGATGAGGTTTAAAATAAGGGCTAAAAGACTAGAAGCCAAGAGATTTTAAAAGGAGCCAAAAGAGTGATGATGATGATAATAATTGTCGCTTACAGAACACTCACTGCATCAAGACTGTTCTCAAGGGCTTCGCTTATCTCCATCCTTTAAATCTGCACACTTTCAAAAATGGGCACTATTACCCTCGGTTTACAGGTGAGGAAACTGGGCACAGAGAGGCTAAATAACTGTCCAAAGTTCTGCCAATTAGTGGTGGCATTGGGATTTGATCAAGACAAAGGTTAAGTAAAACCCAGGAGGAAAAAAGAAAAACTCAAGAGACAAGTAAAAAACATAAATAAATGGAATTGAGGATAAAACTAGTAATTAAATGTAAAAGGTAAAGGAATGTAAACCTAAAAACCATAAAGAAAAGGGACCTTTGCCCTCGCCGGTTTGGCTCACTGGATAGAGCGTCGGCCTGGGGACTGAAGAGTCCCGGGTTCGATTCTGGTCAAGGGCATGTACCAAGGGCAGCTGATTGATGCTTCTCTCTCATTGATGTTTCTAACTCTCTATCCCTCTTCCTTCCTCTGTAAAAAATCAATAAAATATATTTTTTTAAAAAAAGAAAAGAAAAAAAAGGGACCTTTAAAAATAAAATAAAAGCAGAGAGTCTTGGCGAGAGGCTGTCTGAGAGAACGTGAGTCTCGGCGACACTCGGGGAGGGTCCCTCTTCCTGTGGGGGTGAACCTTGGTGACGATGAGGGACAGGGATGCCCCTAAGCCGTTTTGCCCTTTTCTCTGGAAGCTTCCACCTCCCAGGCTGTCCTTTCCTGCTGTGTTCACAGGTGCCTGGACGTGGCTGTGGGGGTGGAGTCAGGGATTGTGTTAGCAGCCCCTGCTGTTCTGGAAATTTCCCTGACACAGCCTCTCTTTCCCACGGTGTCTGACGAGGGCAGGGGGCAGTTAGAGAAGAAAGGACACTGCAGGGTGCCCGGGTTTGCTGGGATGGAGAGCCCCCCTGACCTGCAGCGCCAGCCTGGCCGGGGCTCAGCAGGGCCCCTCACTGGACTCTCTCATCCACGCAGGGGCCAAGGTCGCCAGCCGAGGGGGTCACCTGGAGCGCATATTCGTGGTGGAATTTCGCCCGGATTCGGACACGCAGTTTGTGTCTGTTGGGGTCAAACACATGAAGTTCTGGACCCTGGCAGGCAGCGCCCTCCTGTATAAGAAAGGGGTCATCGGGTCCATGGAGGCTGCCAAGATGCAGACGATGCTCTCCGTGGCCTTCGGTGCTGTGAGTCCCAGCAGAGCTTCCCGAGGGGCCCTGAGCCCCTGGGCATGGAGTGGGGGGCGAGGGGCCGGGGAGTGGAGAAGGAATATGGCCAAGAAGCTGCAAACAAGAAAGCTGTTTCCACAAGATCAGCTTTATTGGCATTTTGCCATCGCTGTTCCCTTTCCTTAGCACCGATGGGTGGGCAGAAGGTTCATGATTCCAGAGGCAGACGGGCTTGGAAGCCTGTGGGGCCTGGGTTAGACAGCCGCAGAGGAGGTGGGTTCGTTTCTACCACCGAGAGCATCCCTTTTCAGCCCTTGTGCACCACAAATTCCCCCAACTGGCATCCTTAAGTGGGCTGTAGGGTGCCCTCAGCCAACTGGCACGATCCCCTGGGGACATCCTGGGACACAGCCCACGGGCCCTCCAGCTGTGGGTGTGCCCACCTCCTGGATGAGCCAGGAGAGCGTGCTCTCAGGTGGAGCCCCGCCCGCCGCCCCGTCCCCTTGGCCTTGCTCGCAGAATGGAAGTTCACTCCATGCAGAGCCGTGCTCCGTGGGGAAGCCAAGCCCCACAGTAACTCATAGACTGACTTTCAGGCCAGGTGATGTATCATGTGCTTCCCGTGACTGCCTGCAAACTCCTTTGCCTTTTCTTAGCCCAGAAGGTCAGATCCAGGGCATGTTTCCACTTCTCCGCTCGGGTTCCTAACCGAGGAGCAGGTGTCTCTGGAGGGGAAGGGGGGGGGGTGGCTGTGAGGGCTGCTGTGCCTGTCCTGGTGTGGACGGTGTCCCTTTGTTTGCAGAACAACCTCACGTTCACGGGTGCCATCAATGGAGACGTCTACGTGTGGAAGGACCACTTCCTCATCCGGCTGGTGGCCAAGGCTCACACGGGGCCCGTCTTCACCATGTACACGACCCTTCGGGACGGACTCATCGTGACCGGCGGCAAAGAGCGGCCGTAAGCCAGAGCTCCTCTGGGAACACATGTTTAGTTGAGTTGAGTTTTGTTTTGGGAAGAGACTGAGAGAAGCATCTACAATTTGGAGAAAATGCAGATTTTCGTTCTCCTATCTTTGCTGCATCAGGGAGATCAGTCTGCCGTCTCTCCAAGGGTCACCGCCTCTGGAAGGGAGGCTGCTGAACGGTGGCTTAACAACCTAACAACCCGAGCGGTGTTCTCGCACAGACCCGCGTGGCTTTGCTGTGCATAAAGGGTCCCTCTCGGTAGCTCTGAGGGAGAAGAGATGAAGGAGAAGTGAGAATGGAGAGAGAGGTTCCAGTGGGGACAGGAAAGTTGTGAAAATGAAGCAGAAAAACGGGAGAAACACGAACACTATGTTTGACTTAATGAAAAGTTTGATTTTCTAGATTACAATGCTCTTTCCTTCCAAGATCATGGCATTGGAAGGCATTTTAGGAAATCTTCTCATTCAAGGGGTTGTGCTGGCCCGTCACCAGGGCCTAAGGGAGGGCCAGCCTGGAGGGTCCGTCCTCCTGGGCTCTGGTGGAGTGACCATAAGGAGGTGCCAGGGAGAGAGGGCAGTGAGGGTCACGGGAGGTCTGAGGACAGGGCCTGACATGCTGAGTTCCTCTTGATCTTTATAGGACCAAAGAAGGAGGTGCTGTGAAACTGTGGGACCAGGAGATGAGGCGCTGCCGAGCCTTCCAGCTGGAGACGGGGCAGCTGGTGGAGTGTGTGCGCTCCGTGTGCCGCGGCAAAGTGAGCCGGCTGGTCTCTGCTGGGGCCGGGAGGAGGGGCGGGGTCCAAGTGAGAGTTAGCTCAGCACCTTCCAGTTAAACAGTGGAAACGAGAAGCAACCTGCATTTATTTGGCATCAAAAAACTGCGATTTGGGGAGCACACATTGAGGCAGAACCAGATAGTGTCCTGATTTCGGGGTGAAAGCAAGGGGTTTTTATGAGAAAAGACAAAGGAATAATTACGTGAGAAGAAGAAAGAACTGTTGGTGCTAACAAGCTGAGCTACTCTTCGCTGTACATGAGGGGTTACTGGTTTTGTCTTAGGACAGAAAGTCCATATCGCAGTCCTTGTGAGAATGCCCACTTTCCTGCTGGCCTCACAAACAGTTGTTTGTAAAACAGTGTTGGTTTTAGTCCAGCCCCGAGGTCTGGCCCAGTCAACCACCATGCTGCTGGCTCTATGAATTTGACTACTACTCCAGGTAGTCCATAGGGGTGGGATGGTACAGTATTTGTCCTTTTTCTAATAGTGTTTTGATTACAACAGGGAAAAATTCTAGTGGGGACCAAAGATGGAGAAATCATTGAAGTTGGTGAGAAAAATGCTGCTTCCAACATCCTGATTGACGGACACATGGAGGGCGAGATCTGGGGCCTGGCCACACACCCGTCCAAGGACATCTTCATCTCTGCCAGCAACGACGGCACAGCCCGCATCTGGGACCTGGCTGACAAGGTGAGGGGCCCAGTCTGCCAGGCTCCAGTGCCCACGTGTGGGCCTTGCAGAGTAGTGAGGAGGGGTCGGGCCAGGGAGTGGGTGGGGGATGGGGCCGAATATGAGATCAGTAATTTGGTTAGCCTAATAACAAGTCCCATTCACACACACTCAGTCTTTTAGCTGTATATCTGCCTACAAATATTTATTCATAGTAGGAATAATCTAAGTGAGAATGATTATTCTCTTGTCATGAAAGAACCCACAAAACCTAAACATAAATAAGTAAATAAATAACGGAGATGAGAAATCATCTTCCCTGGACAAGAAGATTAAAAATGATATCAAATGTCAAATGTTCCCAAATGGAACATTTCAATCAAAATCCCCACAAAGCTTCTCTTAGAGTTTGGAACAAACAAAATATTATAAAATGATTTTTAAAAAATTCATCTGGAGTAAAAATCCAAAATAGCAAAGAATAGTCTCAGGTGGGGGAGGGGGGGAGGTAATGTTACCAAGCCTTGTCTAATATTAAAACAATTACTTAAGTCTCTAATAATTAAAATACTTGGTTTCATTACAAAGTGGCTAGTAATGAAATAAGTTTGAGTCCTGTCTTCAGTGCACCGACCAGAGAACAGACACGCAGGAGCCTAAGCGTGGCCGTCACCTCATCAGCTCACAGTGCTTGCGATGCTGATGGTAACAGCATCTATCACTTACTACCTACTCCGTACCAGGTGCTTCATGCACCCTATTACTCATGCTTACAGTAACCTTGCAAGATCAATATTAATATCACTTGTTTTTCTAACGGGAAACTGGAGAAGTCACTAACCTGAACACACCCAGCTAGTGAGAGCCACGATTCAGGATCTGAACTAACAGGTGCTATGTCGCAAACTCACCTGAACAATAGTAGTCAGCCATCTGCGGCTGGAGGGTCAAGGTCGGCCTGCTGCCTGTTGCTACAAATTAAGTCCCGCTTTCGTTAATGTGGCGTCTGGGGCTGCCTTTGTGTTACAACAGCAGCGTTGAATGGGTGTGAGAGACCACGTGGACCCCAAAGCCTAATATACTTACTTCCAAACCATTTACAGAGAAAGTTTGCCAGCGCCCCTGCCCTAAAGCAGGTCATCTCTCAAGCTGTTCTAATCAAAACTTACTGCCCACCTAGCGACTCAGGGACAGAAGCTAGAAGCAAGCGCTTTGAAGGCCCACATGGTAGCAGAGGCAGCCTGGCTGCTCCGGCCTGGGGGCAGGATGTCCCCTGGGGACCAGCCAGGCAGCCAAGGGCTCGGGTGCTATTACTTTGCATCAATGCAGAAGCTGCTGAACAAGGTGAACCTGGGCCACGCAGCCAGGTGTGCAGCCTACAGCCCTGACGGGGAGATGGTGGCCATTGGCATGAAGAATGGAGAGTTTGTCATCTTGCTGGTGAACAGCCTGAAAGTTTGGGGGAAAAAACGAGACCGGAAATCTGCTATCCAAGATATCAGGTACATAGCAGGTGGTCGGGGCAGGGGGGAGAAGGCAGGCATTCTCCTTCCCAGGGCTCCCCTTCCAGAAGGGCCATGGCCGGGATGAAGAACTCAGTCGGAAGAAGGTCCCTCTCCACAAGCCCCCTGTGAAAGGACACCCTCTCACACATGCGTTCTTAGACGTGTCTTTACTAAGTTCCACAAGAGTGGTGACAACTTCCTGCAAAATGCCATTCTAAGAAAGGCTGCATGCACGCATTCCCTTGCCTCCTTGGGGTTTGATGCAGAGAAATTGTTGAATTCCATAGAACGTGGGAGAAGCTAAGCACCTGTGAGTTATGAAGTGAGATCTCCCTGCCATTGAGTCAGGGAAGGCGGGTCCCAGAGCGACCTCCCGCCTGACCGGCCCCTCAGTGACCGTGCTCTGGGATGTCTTTCTCTAGGATCAGCCCAGACAGCAGATTCTTGGCCGTTGGTTCTTCTGAACACACCGTGGACTTCTATGACCTCATGCAGGGCACCAGCCTGAATCGCATCGGCTACTGCAAGGACATCCCGAGCTTTGTCATCCAGATGGACTTTTCTGCGGATGGCAGATACATCCAGGTTTGCTTCCGCTTTACTGGTGCCTGGGGCAACCGATAGTAACAGTAATAACAACAGCGGCTGATATTCACCGAGAGCTTCCTGGGTTCCGGCCTGTGCGCTGATTTATTCTTCACAGGCGCTGCGTTAGGTTCTGTTACTTCTCCCCTGTCCTATTAGAGAAGTTAAGCAGGTTGAAGAAATAGGATTTAAAGTAGTAGAGTTTCTCTTCAGTAAGAAAAGCAGGAAACACAAGCCCTAATCACCTGTGACCCTCCTCTCACCGCCTCGCCTTCAAAGCTTCCTAGTTTCTAGTTCTCAGGGACCCCCGCCCCCAAGCCTGTGTCACTTCTTATGCGTATTCATTTACATTCCAAACCCTATTGGGTCGTGTGGCCCCTCCACACTGGGACCTGGACTCCAGATCGTGGGCCAGCAGTGAGCACTCATCACGGGGTTCCGGGGGAACCGGCCAGCGGGAGGGGAGAGAGAGGGGTCCCACCTTTAAAACTTACAGTGGAAGACAGAACCATCTTCCCAGCACTCTGAACAAAGGCAGTGCGTTTGAGAGCTGACCTGGAGTTGGCTATTCATTGTGACAGGAGAGAGGACACGTTCATCATCAAATAGTTAATAACCCAGGCACCGTGGTCAGCTTTCGATGGACAGAATGGTCCTGGTCCCTGCTGTCCTGGAGCTTGCCTTGTCATGGAGAGGACGAGCACTAACCAGATCATCACAGGATGGAATCACACACACAGAATGGAAGGAGTGACTGTGTGCTGAGCAGGGCAGGGTGCCGTGGGAGCATTTAACGGGGGCTGGATTTAGATCCACTTCCTTTCTGCGAAAGTGGTATTTAGGCTGAGATCTGGAGGAGGAGTTGGAGTCAGCCAGCAAAGCGGGCCGGGAGCACTGTTCCATCTGTGGGAAGGCCCCGAGGAGGCAGATCTCCGCTCACCGGACGGCAGGAAAATCGGGGGAGGCTGGGCTGCAAGCACCCTGCAGGGGGAGAGGGCCGGGTGCAGGCAGCAGCCACTTTCTGGGAATTGATCCGTTTCTCCTGGAAGGCCCCCGGAGAAGCAGGGGTCGGTCCTAGGTGCTTCAGCAGTCACCCACAGCCGCTGCTGTCCACGAGAACACGGGTCTTACTTCCGGGCAAAGGACCTCGGTTCTGTGAGAATGGGTTTCCCAAACTTGAGTGAGCGTCAGAGGGACCTGGAGGCTTTGTTGAAAACAGACCCAGGCCCACCCCCAGAGTGTTTGATTCGGCAGGACGGGTGCGGCCCAAGCCTGGGCATTTCTATCCAGTTTCCAGGTGATCCTGCTGCTGCTGGGCAGGAACCACCGCCTCAGGTCTTTGGAAAATAGTGGGGAATGGATGGAAAAGTGCCCTGCTCACGTGAACTTCGCCGGGGGCTGACCACACCTGAACCTGGGTTTTGTGACAAGTCCTGGGCTTGCAGAGGCGGGGCTACTGTTCTGGGAAGCAGCACACCAAACGGGGAGGAGTCCTTTGGACTCGAAAAGAGGTCGATGGTCATGGTTTCCTCCCACGCTGCAGGTGTCCACAGGAGCCTACAAGCGCCAGGTGCACGAGGTCCCCCTGGGGAAGCAGGTAACGGAAGCCATGGTCATCGAGAAGATCACCTGGGCCTCCTGGACAAGGTGACTGGAGGGAAAGGTCACAAGGGAGTCTCTCCCCCAGGCTCAGCCTCCAAGTGTGTGTGTGGCTGGGATCTGAAGCAGCTCAGAGACAGAGCTACCCTTTCTTTGGGGAGTGGGGGCAGGAGGCTCTTGGTACCTGTTTGGGCCACTGGACTGGATCCGACCTGGGCCTTGACATGCAAAGTCCCTCTTTTTGTGTAATCCATCTTACAAATCCCCAGTCCCATCCAGCAAGAAAAGGGAAACCATCTCTCTTTTTTGAAATCCTCACCCAGGACATGCTTTTATTGTTTTTTAGGGAGGGAGGGAGGGAAAGAGGAAAGGAGAGAAAAACATCAACGAGAGTGAAACTTCAATTTGCCTCTCGCACATGCCCTGACTGGGAATCAAACCCACGACCTTTCAGTGTACGCTCCAACCAACTGGGCCACACGGTCCCGGGCCCATTTCCCAGTTCTTGACTAGGCCCTTAATCACCAAGAGGAAATGGTAATCTGGAACTGCCCGTTAGCTTGATAAGAAACGAGGCCAATTTAAGGAAAAGGAGCCATCATCCTGTGAGCTTGAAGGAATCCCCCTCTCAAACACACACATACTCAGGACCGTAGGGAAGAGGGAGAGAATCAAAGAGGAGGTAACTTCTCTTTTGGGGGTGAAAGGGACCCAGGCAGAACAGTACGAGCTGGGGTGAAGATGCCAGAGGAGCCACACGGACCCCCCTGAATTCTGTAAACTACCCCTCCGCCCCTTGTCCCTAAGGATGTCTGAGTGCACGAAGCCTTCTCACCAACCTCCTTCTTTCTAACGTCTCTTCCTTTTTGAACAGCATTCTGGGAGACGAAGTCATTGGCATCTGGCCGCGGAATGCAGACAAGGCTGACGTTAACTGCGCATGTGTGACCCATGCTGGCCTGAACATTGTCACAGGAGATGACTTTGGGCTGGTGAAGCTCTTTGATTTCCCATGCACAGAGAAATTTGTGAGTCTGCCATAGAGTAACCTGCCCGCACTGCCTCCATGCTCTGTGCACTGTGCCGGAGATAGGAGATAGCGGCCACATCGACATGGCCATCTGGAATCTAGAACAAGAGGCATCTTGTTCCAGCCCTGCGGAAGTTGGGGAACCCCTAACCTGAAGCTGGGAGAAGGGAGGGTGGGGGTGGGCAAAATGGCCATGAGGCAAGAACAAGACAGGAAAACCTGTGAGAGGCTGGCTAACAGGTGTCCCACCAAATGGGACTCTCCGGAGTGAAGGAAGGTTCTGGGAAGAGGGGACTTAAGTCTGTCAAGGGAAGTGGCTGTGGTTCCTGGGAGGAGGAGGGTTGCTCAGTGTCTCTGCCCACTTTTGCTCACAGGCCAAACATAAGCGCTACTTTGGTCACTCGGCTCACGTGACGAACATCCGTTTCTCCCACGACGACAAATATGTGGTCAGCACTGGAGGAGACGACTGCAGGTAGGTACCCGCCCGATTCATCCGGCTGATAGCCCAGCCGGCTCTGCACTCTCTCCCCTGCTGCACCTCAGGCTTCCTGGGAGTCAGGCCCTCCCAGGGGAATGGGGAGGAGCTGAGGGGGTAGGAAATGGGACATTCAGCGAGTCCTCATGAAGACAGGATTTTCCAAGTATAAGGTATTTAGTGTCTGGTGACCCCCAACCTAAATCTTGATGGGACTATGTGAGCATGGTGAGAAGCCTAGGGTGTGTGATCAATCCTCTGAGCACTGCTGGATGGAGGGACAGGTGGGTGAGAGGCCGATTGTAGTAGGAGCTCTTGGGTAGTCCATAGTGTCATTACCTATAACCAGGTTAGGTTGACCTTGATCCGTAGGTCTTTTAACTCTAAGCTCCAATTGATCACCATAATTCTTAAGATCGATGATTAGCCACAACCAAAAGAGGTTTAAAAACAGTAATATTGAGCCTCGGCCACCCTGAGAAACAAGCAGGGCAAGTGTTACTCAATGTTGCACAAGAGATCAGATGAGGGGCGCACCCTTTGGGCCCGGTGCTAGTTAGCAGCAGAACCTCCACCAGCTGTTTGGACCTTGAGCCAGGGCTGCTTTTGGCCTTCATGGCAATGGGCACACTGTTCTGTGAGCTGTGACTGGGCTTCCAGGTTTTTCGGAAGCACCCCTACCAGCCTGCTCTAGAGATGGCATTAGCCTCCTCTGCATCTGGGGCAGCATCTTCCGTCCCTCCACCCAGGCCAGCGCCTGTCTGGTGTGGGGGGGGCCAGGGCGAGATCATCTAAGTCACTCCTCTTCTCACTGTTGAAGGGCTTTACTGTAACACTGGGCAAAACTCTTTAGGGGGTGAACAGTGGGGGATGAAGAAGAAATGCATGCATTCCAGATATTTTTTAAGTGGTCCGAGTGAGGTTGTGGACAAGGCACCATAGAGAATTTCAACTCACTTCCTACCGAAAAGCGTTGTTTAGAAAATGGCCCCAAAGAAAGCTTTCTGAGGACCTGCCTGGGAGCACCCACCTCCCGTCTGCTGTGCCAACTGCTCCCGGCACTTAGAGCCCTTGAGATAGTACTGACAGCAGCTCTGGTGGAGGGTAAACACCCATTCAAAGCAGCACCAAGCAGCAACGGCCAAACCGTAAACAAGCCAGAAATAGGAGACAGAAGAGAATCGGTCACCCAGGGCAGGAGATGTGAGTGACTTTCGATTGCTATGAAAGGCTTAGCAGTAACCTTTAAGATGCAAGGCCCTGAGGCCGTTGTAGCCAGGGGGGCATGCTGTGATCCCTGGCTCGGTGCTGAACACTAGAAGGGCTCTCCTACTCAAGTGGAGCTGATAAGGCCTTTCAACAGTAACAAGAGAGATAGTGTGAAGTCAAATTGCCAAAAGTCCTCATGTTCAGCACAGTCTGGCTGCTGAAAGAGCCAGAAAAAAAACCCATAATTTTTTTTAAAAGCGATCTTTAATTGGTGGCAAGATCCCAGGTTCACGGTTTTTGTTCCCGAAACTGACATGCTCTGCATCACCTGCGCTGGACTCGGGAGCCCCTGGCAAGATGGTTTTTCTCACTTGATAAAGTATGATGTCCACCAGGCACAACGGCTGTTTGCTCTGCCTTTTCAGTATATTTGTGTGGCGATGTCTGTAAAGGCCAGAAACCTCTCCCTTTATTGCTGCTGCTGCTCCCACCCAGCACCTGCAGAGGCAGCGACGAGGCGCCTCCTCGCCACCAGAGGCTGGGCAACGCCTCCAACGCTGCAGGCGCACAAGCTCCGCCAGAGAAGTGGTAAGACTGCACTCGGGGTCTCCAAAACCGAGATGCCAAGAAGGAAGGTCAGTTCTAACATGTTAAAGACTGCTTGCCTCTGTTTCTGAGACTAAAAACTCTATGTACTAACAACACTGACAAAACATCCTGACAATGTAGCCCACTGACAAAATTGAAAGCCTCAGTTACCCTAACCAATATGTAGCTTTTAATTTGCATCAAACCTTTTGCAAAAGATGTTTTATTATGTTTCTATATTCTTTAAAAGTTGTTCATTTTTTACAAGTAAGTTAAGACAGCTTAAGGTAGATGGACCGAAGTCCTAGAACTATCGATAGCCTCTGTTCTCCACATTTAGCTTTCAAAACCAAATGAGCCATGTATAAACGAGTTGAGAAACTTAATTTTTTAACGTTTCGTTTGCAGAGTTTTCTATCCATTAAGTGCCTTTGAAAGTTTCCAGTTGTGTGGGCTGCTGTCTCACCTCCCACAAATGATCTTTCTACATCAGGTGCTAACTTCCAAACTGAGGAGGGCTACTTAGGAGTTTCCTGGTCTGTCGCCCATGTCCCGTGTTTGTGTCCAGGCTTCCCAAAGGAAGGGCATCAGTTCCCCGCTGGGGAAATAGTGGCTGTAGGAAGGTGAGCAACAGAGAAATAAATCCAGGCGGGAGGGAGTAGGATGAGTGTTCATTATGTTTAGTGCCAAATCCAAAATAGAAGCAAAAAAAAAGCTCACCCGGTTCCAGGAGGATGAGCTGATTTATCTTGTTCAATGTAAAATGGGAACAAATGAGGTGATCTGAGGCTGACTGGACACCACTGATTTGCTTCTGAATTTATATATAATCTGCAGAACAAATCCCTAAACTCAAACAATATTTGATAAAACAATCTAGCTTAGCGTTCCTCAGAGTGGGTTGGCTAACAGAATGTGACTTGGACAATCTTACCCAGAAGACAGCTCCAAACCTCCTCAATTATACTTGACGCTCAGCCAAGCACTGACAGGAGGGACTGATGGCACACACTGGAGGCAGGCACTGGTGACTGAGCACATATAGACCAGTGAGTCCTTGCGGTCAGTGAACTAAATTTTGGATCTTAAGTTACTGGCTAGTTGCAGTTGTCAGTCTAGAGAAAAGGTGAAATGATGCAGTTTCAATGAACTAGATTAGCATTTACCACAGAAGTGCTTCAGCATTCTAAATGGATTAGGTCATTCATTAAGCTATTTTTATATGCCAATTTATTAATGCCTTACATTAATCCACTGATAGGTTGATGGGCCCAGTTAGAGTCCCTCTGCAGTCCTAATTGTTTTCTGTAACCATGTGACTGGTGATGCTGAGTGATAACCATGTCTGCCTATATTGTACCACTGACCTTTCATATGATTGAATCTTGCATAGAAATATTGATATGTACAACTATATTTACAGAGCAATAGTGTCTGTGTATCAAGAAAACTTCTAGTAAACATTTATATGGTATGATTTTATGTATGTTCATAAATCCTGCACTGTATTCTGTTAAAATAATTGGTGCATGAATTTATTTTCAGTTATCAAAGTATAAAAAGAATTTAGACATTTTGGTGTGTGTCAGATTTGATTAAGTAAACACAGCTGCACGATAAGCTGAAACAAAGTCTACTCCCCCTTTGTGTGTACTTTTCACCTGCTATAGTTTCATGAAACCAAAATACCAAACATATTTTAAGTCTATAAGCTTTATTGATACTTCGCTTTTACAGTTCACAAGGCATTCCACGATTTAGTTCAGTACAGCTTAAACCACAACTGTATAAATCTTCATAATTTCTTGCATAACAATGTTTGATATTTGCAAACAACATTTTTGGAAGCATTAGATTCAGTCCATAGATTCAGAGTTTGTGACAAAATTAACTACGGTAAGTCTGTGTGATGAAGTTTATATGGTGAGTTCTATGTGCATGGATGGCATCCTTTCATGTTGAAAACAGATGGTAGTGCGCCTAGAAATATATTTTCTTCTGCTTATGTATTTGAAACTACACATGTATAACCAATGACTGAAATATCAAGCACTGTGGGGAAGCTGGAAGGTAAAGGTCTAAGCTTTGTGAAACACTATATATATAGATATATATATAATCTATATTTACTTATATTGGCAATTAATATAACAGTAAAATTCACAATACACCTAGAACATACCAGAAAGGCAAGCTTTTCCACTCCTGCATTAGTGGTATGATCTCGTCTAAACATTTTGTTTCAGAAAATCTGCATCAATCTACACAGACCATACACACACAGTGCACAAACTGTGAAAAGGGTTTGTTTTTTTTTCAGCTTCATGTTCTCTGCAATTCCTCAAATACAGCAAGACTACCTGCAACAAAGTATAATATACAGCTTTCTCAGATCTTTTTCATTCACCAGTGCCTCGGCTAGGAAAAACAAGTATGACCACGGTTTAAATCCATACATAGCAGCTCACAATACTTAAGATGATGAACACGCGGCAGCCAAGAAGGTGATTTTTCCTCAGACACTGCATTGCTAAAAATAAAGATCTGTGACACTGCAATGTCAAGGCGCCATTCTTCCCTGACCCTCCCCCATGGAATCAAATGTATATCCCCTTTAAAGATAAACTCCTACTGTGATTCATTTCAGGCTTTTTTTCATTCAGCTTTGCGTTTCAATCCAGGGATTTTTGCTTGGATTCTACAAATGAAAAGGGGGGAGAAAGGTCAATGTAAAAATTTTTTAAGTATTTTGTTCTCTGCTTCTTAAAAGGCTTTCCTTCAAGAATGACTTGTTATGGTAGTTTAGCTTAAACAAGAAATGAAATCCTAAGGCTGTCAAGCTACGATTTTTACTGCCATGGCCTCATGAATTACTTTTAAACAAAGCCTTAAGTAAAATTATTAATGTAGAAATAAATTACCCAACAGTTAGAAAAAAATCTTTTGGCAATTGTGTCACACTGTAGTTCTGATGGAGATTTGCTACTGCACTGTTCTCAAAGTCCAGTACACCTTATCCTTGGTAAAAAAAAAAAAAAAAAGTTGCAGATTTTAAATACTTACTTAGCCATAGCATCTTTGACATTCTTATTTGCAAGTGCTAGATAATGATCTATCTGTGCCTGAAGAGAAGGATAAGGGAGATATCAGAACATTACCATTGCTAAAGAATCTGATTAACTATTACTATGACCCAACAAATTAAAGGCATAAGCAACCACCTTATTGCTCACTTGTATGATACATTTGTAAGTTCCACATAATAAAGTGAGCTCTGTATTCTGAAATTCAGTCAAATTACCTGATGCCGCTCATAAATAACAGGAACGCTGAAGAGTGAAATCAGAGCTGAAAAGGAAATACACAACCTTTAAAATAGACTGGTATGATTTAGGGGACAAACACTGAAAAGCCATCAAACCGGCAACATTCCTAAGCAGGCCAGGCTCTCCTGGGTGCCCGTGCGGGGAGTGGTGGGGGGCCACGCCAGGGCAATGAATTAACCAAGGAGGCTGCAAGAACCACTCCTGGCTCCAAATCATGCCACACAGACTTTATAAAATACAGGTAAGGCCACCTTGCTCTGCTTTGTCACTGTGAGCTGAGCAGTCTTCAGGAATTAAAGTAGCATGTCAATAAATAGTATCAGCAATTTATTTAAAGAGGTCACAACCTCAAACATACCTCCTCTATTTTTCCTACAATGTAAGAATATTCTCCATAAAATCTCTAATCTCCTTATATACACTTTCCCCCTGCAATTTTTCATTCCAATGCTTTTGTAGACTTACCCAAAATCAGTAGTGTCAGACCATTGAACAAGGCTCCAACATAGGTAAATACCCACATCAACACTGCAAACTATAAGAAAATAACGTTAGCCTATTAAAAACTAAATTAAGCTTCAAATAAAAGCATCCCACCTAAATGCCAAACTAGTAGAGGCATAGTCCTTGGAGACTTGGTATAGTAACATGGATATTTTAGAATCCTAATTAAAACAATAGATTTGATTCATTTTCTCTGGACTACACTACCAAGTAGTTGATTCTGTTTTCTCTGAAATCAGAAAACATGCCAAAGCTATACCATAGTAACTCCAGTTCTAAGACAGAATTTAGCTTTTAAATGGGAAGACTGAAAAAGTACTGTGAAAATTCACTATTAAAACTGATTTTAAGTACTAACAAATTAAGTGCTTTAAGATCTTCATGAGCTGAGTAATTCAGACATTGACAGGTCAGACATCTGAGTAAGTAACAAAAGGGCAGGGAGGACTTATCAAACAGATTAAGTTCCAGGTACCAAAAATATCACCTCTAGCATTTTATTAAGGATCAGAGGCCCTGTTTGCCCAGGGATACATGTTTTAACAGCCATAGTTAACCCAGCTCTCTGTCACATATTCTTTGAATATTATCCTTTAAAAATGTAAAAAACATTCTTAGTTCCCAGGCTGTACAAAACAGGCCATGGCCCAGATAGTTTGCTCACCCTTTTGGTCTTTCTACATGCAACAAAATCTGACTGAGTGCCTACTATGAGCTGGGTACTGAGCAATAATTATGGTGATCAAGCTGTAGTAAGCTTCTTTACTACAGGCTAGGACAGTGATGGCGAACCTTTTGAGCTCGGCGTGTCAGCATTTTGAAAAACCCTAACTTAACTCTGGTGCCGTGTCACATATAGAAATTTTTTGATATTTGCAACCAGAGTAAAAGACTTATATTTTTGATATTTATTTTATATATTTAAATGCCATTTAACAAAGAAAAATCAACCAAAAAAATGAGTTCACATGTCACCTCTGACACGCGTGTCATAGGTTCGCCATCACTGGGCTAGGAGGACACTCTGGATTCCCCCACCATCAGTTCTACAAATAGCAACACTGATTACCCCTACAGCTGAATTTAACTGTTCAAGCAAACAAACACCTATCAACTGAAAATCAAAAATTAAATGCTGCCCTGGTCTTAGCAACTCCTATGTTACCACTGGTAAAGGTCTGAAGCATGACTCTAGTTGGCAAGCCTCCCCC